CCCAGCACCAGAGGCCTCCACGCGGCTCCCACGAGGCCTCTGGCTGCCCGGGCTCTGCCTGTGCCTGGCCCCGCTCTGGTGCTGGCTAGAAACACGGAAGGCAAGCACACCACGTTTCCTTTCCTTCCCTTCAAGGTCAAGAGCAAGCGTACGAGTTGGGAGAGGCTTAGATCCGGCAGCATTTTATGAAGACGGTAAGAATGGTATCAGCAGTGTAATGTGAGTGTATTAAAAAGGGGCTAGCGTAAGACACAGCGAAGCAGTCTTTCTCCTTTACTTAATTCGCCCGAGTCTGACAGTACCGGATTAGTTTCCGTTCTAGGGCCCGCGTTGAAGGAAGGATTGACAAACGACATCGGAGCACAAAGCTAGGCCGTTTCAAAGAACCCGGGAAGTCCGGCGGTGACTGCTGTGTCCCAGCATCCCCCAGGGGCAGAGGAGTCGGCCTGGCTGGTTTGCGCCGAGAGGCGGACGTGGAGTTAATGAGAGACAGTTCATGGAAACAGATTCTGGCTCAGTAGAAGGAAAGTTTTTCAAGTTATTAGAGCAGTTTAGTGATGGAAAGAACTGCTTCACTCAGCTGGGAGCTCCCGCCACTGGAAGTGTGCCAGCAGGGCCGAGAGGATTCGAGAGGATCCCGGCACCGAGCGGGAGCCTGGGGTGGCTGACCTTGAAGGCCACTCCCGCACCAGGCTTCAGGAAGTGCGAATGCCAAGGCGGACGCCGGCCAGCTGTGTGGCCTTTGGCTAAGCAGTTAACCGTTTCTTGCTGCGGGTTCCTCATCCATAAAATGAGGGGGTTGCGCCGGGTGAGGTTGGAGCGCCGTGCCCGCAGGGCTGGCTCCTGGGGCAGCCTGCTCCCCACGGTGTGCTGGAGAGGGGGTGTGGGCCGACACCTGCACCCTGCAGAGCAAAGCCCGAAACCCTGCTTGCTCCCGGGCCCAGTGTGCGGCTGGCAGGGGTCAGGGCGATTGCCACCCTGGGGTCTGGGCCCAGGAGGTCTGCGGCAGGAGGCTGGTGGAGTGGCCGAGGTCTGCCTCTCTCGGACTCCTGTGCGTTTTCTCCGAGTCCAGCAGCCTCGGCACACGGCTCAGAGGAGACGCAGAGCCGTGAGGTTCTGGCGCTTACAGGGCAAACGTGTGCCCTCTGTTTGCTCAGTGACCTGGCAGGAGCTGCTGGACTCTTTCAATCCCCAGGACAAATATCCCTGAAGCAAGGCCCTCGTGGCAGATCTGATCCGAGAGCTTTACCGAAGTTATTCTGCTAAGTCTCGTATCAGCTGAACCCTGATGAAAACCTGGCGGGTTGGATCCTTTGCCCTGTGGAGAGGCAGCCCCGAAGTCTGGGCTGGACGTGGGTTCGGGGAGAGCCGCTGTCCCCGGCGATCGCAGACCCCTCTGTGGGGACCGAAGCATTCCCCTCCGCCTGCGAGAAAGGCCCACTCCACTGCCTTCACTCGCTCTCCTTCCCGTCCTCCTTCGACTTCTCTCCGACGCCTGCAGCGCTGTCTCCAACTCCCATTTCTTCTGGTATTTTTGCAAAAAAAAACTCTAAAAATGGGAGCGCAGAGGCCACGGCCGTGGCCCTGTTTGCTCTGAGATAGGTGCGGAAGGGAACAGCAAGGCTTCAGACACCTCCCCCGGTCCCTGGGGGCAGCCCGGGAAGGCAGAGGGCAAACGTGTGTTCTCCGGGCCATGAGCTCACTCCTGGGCTGGCCGCTCCGCCCACGCTCACCGCGTGCAAGTGCAGTGCCACGTTTTCCGCCGCCTCTCTGTTCCCTTGGGCTGGGAATGAAAACAGCTGTTCAGAACGAGAGCACATGAGTCAGGCTGGATCCCAGGGCGGTCATCCATCGAGGCTGGAGCGGCCCCGCCCAGTGTCCTGAACCCGAGCCCCCTCCCCCCGTGGGGAGGACACCGCCAGCGGTGTGTCGTCAGTGTCATAGCACGGCCTTCGTCTGTTTCCCAGACCTCAAGGACTAAACACCAAAACACTTGCCAGGCCAAGTTAAAAAGGAAAAAAAAAAGGCAAGGAGGAAAACACTCATTTGAAAGCTTGCTTCTCGGGACGCCCTTTGCCGGCTCCGATCCGCCCTTTGCCAGCTCCGATCTCAGCGCTGCGGTTTGCGGGTGGATCTGCTGGGCTGGCTGCTGTCCTCGCTGAAGGATTTCACCAGAGCTCCTGCAGAGCTGTGCCCTGGGCTGTTGCAGGCTCTCGAGGCTTGTGATGGCAGAGCTGGTCTCCGAAGGCCAGCCGTGGGTGTCGGGGGGTCGTCACCCTCCCTCTGTGGCTCTGTAATCCCACTGCCCCGGGCTCTGGTGGCATCTGACCAGTCTCATTGCCCTAGAAATGCAGGCCAGTGCTGCTGGCCGGGGGGCCTGTGTGCCCTAGAGGGAGAGAGGAGGGAAGGCAGCCCCTCTGCACACTGTATTTCCCTAAGTCGCACAGTCTTTCTTTTTTCCTGATGCGTATGTATTTATGTTGACTTGGCAGAGTGATAGAGAGAGAGGTGGAGCTTCCACCCACTGGCTCTTTCCTCAAATGCTCACAACAGCCAGGGCTGGGCCAGGCCATAGCCAGCAGCCTGGAACTCCATCTGGTTCTCCCCCGTGGCTGGCAGGGACCCTAGTCCTTGAGACGCCATCTGTCGCCTGCCAGGGTGGCAGCAGAGGCAAGACTTGAACCCAGGCGCTCCCAAACATGGAATCCAAGTGTCTCAAGTGATGGCTGAATCCGCTGCTCCACGGCCCGTGCCAGACGGGATGTCCTTGTTGTGCGACTGGAGCGTGTCTGAAGTCCGTCTCCCAGCTGCGGTTTCTGGGACTCTGGTACCACCGTGTCCTCCAAGGCCTAGTTTTGTATGATGGAAATGCGACACCTGTGTTCCCCGGGGTGCTCTGTGGAATTCTGGGAAGGCCATTAAGCCTCGGCTTCCTTCATCACACCCACGAGTCTACCATTAGGCAGTCATCTTTTGTGGTAATAGGTCACTGCTCAGATAGAACGCCGCCTAAAATCTATGTTGGGAAGGGCAAACCCACAGAGCCAGCACACAAGGCAGTGCAGCGTGGTGGTTAGATGCTCACTCTGGTGTCAGCTTGCCCAGGCTCATACCCTGCCTCTCCTACTGCCTAGTTACGGGACCTCAGTCTTCTCATCTGGAAAATGGGGTCAGCAGTACTGTCCTTGGGGGGGGGTTGGTTGTCGGGGCTGTGAGAGGCCAAGTGCTCAGGTGGATGGGACAGCATCCACCTTTGTGTTGCTTGCAGTCTCTATTTGCATAAATTAGCATATTGCGGTGATGTCCCAGAGAAGTTGGTTTTGTCCAGGAAACTGAGGGCATCTCAGCCACTCTGAGGGGATGGCAGCATCAAGCTGTGGCCCCGAGTTTTGTCCTCCACGTGTTTTCACGACGGTGGCCTTTATCCGTCACTTCTAGGACGGGACTCCCTCGTGGGGCTGGAGTGGGTGACGGAGCCCTGGGCTCACGTGTCTGGGAAAGCCTTTTTCTCTCCTGAAGTCTAGCTTCGTTGGGTGTGGGATGCTTGGTTGCTTTGTTTTCTTGCAGGACTCTCCGGGTCTGAAGGTTTCTGCAGGGAGGTCTGCTGTTGGTGTAACGAGGGCTCCGTGGACCCGATGCCCTCCTCCGAGAATTCTCCCCTTGCCTTGTGCTTTCCACGGTTCGACTGTCATCTGCCTCGGGTCTTTTTCTGGTTCATCTGCTGGGAGTCCTGTGACCTTCCCGGTCTGGATGCCCATATTTCCCCCACAATTTGAAAAGTTTCCCCCATTTATTTCACTGAATGAGTTTTCTGTGCCTTTTCCCTTCTCTTCTGCGTGGTGCCGAAGTGCGCTGGCCGACTGCTGTCCCAAATTCTCGTAGACTTTTCTCATTCTCTTAATTTTTTTCTTTTTAAAAAATTATTTCATTGAATCATTTCAGATCTCGTTTCAGCTCAGAAAGTCTTTCTTCTGCTTAATCTGTTATGCTGAGGCTCTTGAATGTATTTTTGATTTCAGTTTCTGAGTTCTTTAGCTCTAAGATTTCTGTTCCCTTTTGTATTTTACCTCTTTTGAATTTTCGTGCACATTATGAATTATCTTCCTGATTTTGTGAGTGGCCCGCCTGTATTCTCTTGTATCTCACTAAGTTTTCTTAAAATAATGATTTTTAGATTCTTTGCCGGGCAGGAGGTGATTTCCTTTTCTCTGTGATCCGCTGCTGGGGCCGTTGTCTCTTTGGAAGCGTCCCACCACCTCGGTTTCCCACGCTCCTTGCGTCTCTGTGTTCTTTCCTGGGGATCTGGCAGATTCGTTGTGTACCGATTTTATGGGGTGGCTTTTGAAGTGAGACAAAACAAAGAAGCAAGAGTACTTCCTCTGGCAGTGCGTCCTGGGGTGTCGGCTGTGTGATGCCTGGGTGTGGTTTCCTGGTGTGAGCTCTGTGTGGCTCCTTAATGTGATCGGCACTGCCATGTCTGCGGGTGTGGTGGTGGCGAGGGAGCAGGCGATGTGGGATTGCACTGCCGGCTGGGGCGCAGCCCTCTCGGGCGGCCCAGGTTCACCGCAGCTCTGGTACCTCTGCAGGCATCGGGCGTACAGCAGTTTCTGTGGGGTGTGTGTGGGTGGGACCACTCTGGTGCAGGTGAGGTGCAGCCGGCATGCCCAGGGGGACGAGGTGCCTGTCGGTTTGCAAGGGCCACGTGGGGGTGAGGCTGCTGTGACGGCCCAGGTGAGAACGGTGCTGTCTGAGTGCCGCGTTGTGACTCACAGGGCCTCTGGGTGCTGCCCTGCTCGGAACGGGCTCCCTGGTTGCTTCCGCAGGCTGAGGTTGGGTGCAAATGAACCTTGGCTGCAGCACTTGCTTGACTTTCTGTGTGTCTGGATTCCACGCCTGGTGGTGCTCGGGCAATGCTGCTCTCTGCACCGCGGCGCCGGGACAACCACAGCACGTGAAACGGAGCATTTTGCTCTGCTGAGCGCCCCTCCTCTTTCCCTTAGACCTCACGAAGCAGACGACATTTGAAGCCCAAGCCTTCCTGGCAGCCGTGCAGTTCTTCCACCAGGAGAAGGGCCACTACGGCTCGCGGGAGATGATCACCGGGGACGAAGTGCAGGTGACACGGGCTTCGCGGGCGGGGGGAGGTCAGGGTCGTTATAGTGAGTGATCAAGCAGAAAACCCCACACGTGGGGGTGGGATAGGCGGGCCCAGGGGCTGCTGCTGTCATGTCTGGAGGCACTGGGTCACTGGGACCAGCTGGCCGGGCACCCACAAGGCAGCAGACCCTGCAACCACAGTGCAAAGGGTCGCAGTTCCTCTTTCAAGCGGCCTCCTGCTGCCAACCAGCAGGGGGCGCCAGCAGCGCGTGGCTGTGCAGTCAGCAGCTCCGACCTAAATCTTGCCAAGTTATTTCTCTTCTTTTAGTTTCAAATTACCCCTCTGAAAAAAATAATAATAAGGTTTACCTTGCAGGGTTGTGAGACTTGGAGAAGGACTTGGCACCTAGCTGTCTTTATCTGTTGGGGGATCATAAGGGGCGTAATGAGCAGTACGCGTGTAAAAAGCCTTAGGTGGGTTCTGCAGGCTTCTTCGCCTTTTCTGGTTTTCCGCCCTGTGTGGTCGTTTGCTGCTCCACCTGCCGGCCGAGGCCTAAGCCCGTGGTGCGCCTGGCCCAGCGCCGTGCAGTGGCTGCCCTGATGCGACCCAGCCCCCAGGATGACGCCACTCTCGCGGCTGGTTCTGCCAGGCAAAGGAAGCACCGAGGATGTAGTTTGTGCCATGGACCAAGCAGAAGCCCCAGAAGGGGACGGAGCGGCCGGCACTGCTGGCCGCTGCGGGAGCCAGCGTGGTTGATAGAAATGTAGCAGATAGACCAGCGTGAGAACGCTCTCGCACGCCACGTTCTCGCACGCCACGTTGGGCTGTTCGAGTGCTAGTTCCGTGTGCGTGCTTTCACAGTCGCAGCAGCCGCTAGGAAGCTACCATCCCGACTTGTCACCGAGGCTTCTGGGGGAGGGCGACCACGGCTCACCGCGCTGCCCAGCTGGGGGCTACGCGGCCGCTCTGCCCCGAGCGTCCACTGAGCGCCACGCACTATCCAGAGGACTCAGGCCCCAGGGGGAGCAGGACAGAGCGGCCCTGCCCTGCGGGTTTCGAGGGTTCAGGGTCGCCGGCCTCCTGAGAGGGTGGCGGACGGCCTGATGGCGTCCGGTCCGGGGCCACAGGAGCAACCCCGCGGCGGGACGTCCTGGGTCTCGCGTCTCTCGGGCTCCTGGAGCCAGCCGTGCACGTGGAGTCCATAAAGGCCTTAGTGCCAAGCTCTCAGAGCAAGGTGCTAAGGCTAAGAAGCCCCGCATGTGGGAAAACAGAACAAGACCAAGGTAAGTGGGGGGGTCATCACATGACCCGGGAAGCAGTTTTGCTGCCCAGGAACTTGGGTGTCTTTGGTGGAATCCCAGCCCTGTCAAACGGGAGCACAGAAGGCATTTGCCAGCACTGCCCGCGTGAGTGGGGGACGTTCAGAGCGGTTGGCAGAGTCATGGAGCCCACGGGGACGGCAGCCCACGCTGGCCAGCTGGGAGAAGCCACACGAGGACAGGCTCCTGAAGCTTCCGTGTGCTGGGCCTGGAGGATCACGGTTCACCACGCCCCCAGGGCGGGAGCAGACAGCAGAGGGCGTCCGTCCCTACCTGGGGAAGGGACGCCCCCAGGCGGTCAGAGCGGCAGCGCCCGGCCAAGACCGTGCCATCCCTTGGGGAGAGCTCTGGGCGTGTTCACAGCATCTTCCTCCTCTCCGCTAAGGGCTTCATCCGTGCTGGCTGCCGGGCCTGCCTTCAGAGGGTTCTCGGCCTTGCTGCGAGGCTGCACAGCGCACTCACGGCACCTGCAGGCGTCCGGGCAGAGCAGGGTCGCAGCGTAGCCTGCCCGACAGACCTCAGGGGAGTGTGCATACCAGCGGCAGCCCCGCCGGTGTTCTGCTGCGCATGTGTCCCAGGGATGGTGCCGGATGCTGGTGCCGACGCGGAGCTGTGATTTGCCTTGCAGTCACCAGCGCACTTCTGAAAGGTCATGGAAATGGAAGTCAAAGGCACTTATTCTGGTGCAAAAAAATGTTCGAGATCTGTGCATACAAGAGGTCTCCAAGCAGTTCACGGAGATACACATCACGGAAAACAGATGGGTTCAACAAACGTTGTGCCCTGAAATAAACTTGGCTGGAATTCCACTCCCCCACAAACCTGGCCAAGTACACGGGCAGGTGGGGCGGACTGCTGGATCTTCAGGTTCCAGCGGCTGGTTCATCCAGCCCCCTCCAGGTCCCTGCCCCGAGAGAGGACGTGAGGCAGCCCTGCCGAGCCACAGCCCCAGAGGAGGTGGAGGACTTAGGTCCCTGCTCCCGCGGGGCTGACGCCTCCTTGTCTCTCCCCGACTCTGGGTACCCCCACCGGGCGCTTAGCCCACCGAGCACGTGGGCGTGGATCCCTCACTGCCTGCTCAGCTCGCCGTGGCTGCTGCGGGGTTGGCGCATGTCAGGGAGTCTTGAAGCCCTCAGAAACGGGGATTCTTCTCTTCATTGTCCTCAGAGATTGGTGAGACAGATAAAAGCGTCCCCACCGATGGACTACCAGGAGTCACCCTCACGCCAGGCAGATGCTGATGGCGGGGTCAGGGCCCCGCAGAGCGGGTGCCGTGGGCTGGGCTGGGCTGCTCCACCTCCGCCCTGGCAGTGCCTGCAGAGCTCAGCTGGAGCGCCACACCTGCCAGGACAGAGCCCCGGTGACAGGGAAAGCCAGGGAGCTGGGAGGACCAGCGAGCCCAGAGCAGAGCTGCCCTGGACCGAGGCAGGTGCAAGACTGAGAACGGGAGTGTCGCTTCAGACCCACGGAGCGGCCGTCTCGAGGGAGCCCCTGCTTTCCTGCCTCCTCCGATCCCAGGGTCGGTCTTGCCCGTTTGTCATCCACAGTCTGCAGCCTGCTGTGGACAGCCGAGCTGCGGGCCCCCACAGACTTGTGGTCCGGGCGACCTGGGCAGCCGAGAGCCCCCACAGGGACGAGAGGGACACGGAGCCCCGTGGCAAGTGGACACACACAGGCAGCTCAGGATCAAAGAGCACCTGTCCACTGCCCCGGCACCGCTGCAGGAGAGATCTGCGAACAGATGGCCCTCGGATGCCCCGCGAGCTCTGGACACCCCTGCCCGGGGCTCAGGGCTCAGCCCTCGGATGTCCGCCTCTTCCAAAGTGTCCGTTACTCCTTATTTCCTTTCTCTTTCCCCCAAACTGTCCAGTTGTCAATGACACCTGTCATTAACAGGCACTGCCTTCCAGGCTTAACTTGATGGACCCCCGAGAGGAGCCTGCCATGGGGACCCCGGGACGCCCCCACAGGACGGGCCTACAGGGAGGGCCGCTCCTTGTGTCACAGCCGGTCACCAGTGGCCCTGACGGTCAGGAAGCAGTAACCTGTCCATCAAAGGCTCACTGTGCGGGAAAGGAACCCCTGCTCTTCTGGGGACCCGACTCGGTGGCGTCACTGCCGCGTCCAGACCGGCCCGGGCGTCGGTCACCAGAGCATGGGAGTCAGCCACCAACAGGGCCCTGGGTGTAAGGGAGCCGAGTCCATGCTGAGGGCGCTCCGGGTCCACCCCTCAGTGTCTGTGCCGGGGAGCCCTGCGGGGAGCGGACGGCCCTGAGTCCCGCCCTCACCTCACCGCGCACCTCAGGTGGCCCTGTGTTTCCGGGCGTCTTCCCAGCCCTGTCCAGGCAGCTCCTCCCTTGTCCTCCTCAGCACTGGAGAGGGTGGTGGTGGCTCCAGTGACACGGGGGACATGGGGACACGCAGGGGCTTTGACGTGAGGGCTCGAGGAGGAGGCAGGAGAGTCCTGGAGACACAGACTCAGCACACAGGCACCAGGGTCAGGCCCGAGTGCACACACAGGGCTGCTCAGGTGTGCTCAGGTGTGTGCAGGTGTACACAGGTGTGCACAGGGCTGCTCAGGTGTGTACAGGACTGCTCAGGTGTGTGCAGGTGTGCTCAGGTGTGTGCAGGTATGCTCAGGTGTGTGCAGGTGTGCCCAGGACTGCTCAGGTGTGCTCAGGTGTGTGCAGGTGTGTGCAGGTGTGCCCAGGACTGCTCAGGTGTGCTCAGGTGTGTGCAGGTATGCTCAGGTCTGCTCAGGTGTGCTCAGGTGTACACAGGACTGCTCAGGTGTGCTCAGGACTGCTCAGGTGTGCTCAGGTGTGTGCAGGTGTGCTCAGGACTGCTCAGGTGTGCCCAGGTCTGCTCAGGTGTGCACAGGACTGCTCAGGTGTGCTCAGGTGTGTGCAGGTGTGCTCAGGTGTGCACAGGACTGCTCAGGTGTGCTCAGGACTGCTCAGGTGTGCCCAGGTCTGCTCAGGTGTGCTCAGGTGTGCACAGGACTGCTCAGGTGTGCACAGGGCTGCTCAGGTGTGCACAGGACTGCTCAGGTGTGCTCAGGTGTGCATAGGACTGCTCAGGTGTGTGCAGGTGTGCACAGGACTGCTCAGGTGTGCACAGAGCTGCTCAGGTGTGCTAAGGTATGCACGGGTGTGCTCAGGTCTGCTCAGGTGAGCTCAGCTCTGCACAGCCCTGCTCTGGGTGCCCTCTCCTACTCACACCAGGTCCCCGGGGTCTGAACACAGGAAGGTGAGCTCGGGGTGTTCTGTTGGGGGCTGCCCACCGTGGCCCTGTTCCTCGCAGAGGGTCCTTAGTGTCAGCCCTCTGAGGTCCTCCTCAAGGCTTCAACCCAGGGTCGGACCACCCACCTCGCCGAGCGCCTGCCCCCGCACAGCGGCACCAATGGGCCCGAGGCTCAGCCTCAGCCACGCCCAGCTGACCGCCCGCGGCCTCTCCCTCTGCAGGCCCTGAGCAGCCTGGTGATGGAGGAGCTGCTGCCCGCCCTGCAGGCTGACCTGCTGCCCACCATGAAGGGGAAGAGGAGCGACAGGAAGAGGGCCTGGTTCGGGGTGAGCTCTGCAGGTCCCAGGGACGCCCCCTTCCGTGCCGGCGTTGTCATTGGAGACAACCCCGTCCCCCGCGCCGCCCAGCACGCAGCCCTGGCCCGGCCCGTGCGCTCCACCAAGCCCCTCCCCGTGGTCCCTCTTGCAGCTGCTGGAGGAGGCCTTCCACCTGGTCCAGCGTCAGGTGGCGGAAGGCCTGCGTGGCCTGAAGGAGGAGTGCCGAGCCTTGACCGAGGGCCTGGAGGGGAGGGTGCGCGCCGACATGGACCAGATCGCCAACTCTGAGGACTTCCTCGCCGGGAAGATCGAAGGTCAGTGGTGCACTGTTTTCCCAGCGCCTGCACGGGGACTCGGCCGGCCCCAGGAGAGGCTGGAGGGGACGGGTGGGCGAGGCTGGCAGCTGTCGGACAGGAGCAGGCCACAGGAGGCGCCGAGACCTGCCCGTTCCACAGAGGCCTCGTGGGCACCGGGGCGAGACAGCTGTGCACCCCACCTTGCACGGGGGCCGGCGCGTCTGCCGGCAGAGGCGCGTCCCAGCTGGGCACTTCCACCACTGACTCACACGGGCCCTGCCGTGCCCCAGCGCTGGCAGGGAGAGCAGAGAGCAGAGCGGGTCGCCCTGGTCGACTCGGGGACCTTCCCTGAGCCTGGCGCGGTCTGCAGGTCCCCGGGAAGATTTCAATCAGGGAGTGAGCCGCGGTCCTCTGCGGCAAAGCCCAGTGCTCCGACCTGGACTCGTAGCCCCAGCCCCAGCACGAGCAGTCGGGGGTGCTCAGGCAGCCCACGTGCTGCCCCCTGCCCCAGCGTCCCCACCGGAAATCCGGAGGGCCACGAGCGGGGGTCCGGCCTACTGCTGCCAGGTCCCCGGCACCGCTGTCCAGGACAGTTCTGAAGTTTCAACCAAACGCTCTGCAAATAGTTCCCCTCTCAAAGTTAATTAACTAATAATTTATTCCCCTGGCAAGCCGTTCTGCCCTTGGTGTCAGGTCGCTTGGTGAGAGCCAGGGGTCATTCTGCAGGTGGCTCGGCTGATTGAAGGGTCCCCAGTCTGGCCGAGGCCTCTCGCCTGGTGTGCGGTGCTGCTCCCGCAAAGCAGGGGCCGACCTGGCTTTCGCTCCATCTGTGAGTCACAGGGGGTGGATACCGGGGTCAGCGCGTGTTCCCTGTGGACGGCAAGGCCGTGTGGCTCACCCCGCCCCCGGCACGGGGCCTCCTGGGCCGTGGGCAAGTCAGGCGACTTCCGGCACAGGCCTCCTTCACTACCCCACCAGCGCCTGATCCTGGCTGGCCAGGAGGATCACCCCGCCTTGCAAACTCCGTGTCTACGTCAAGGACAGTGCGTTGCCACTCAGGATGGAACTGGGTGGCTTTTCTGCAACCCACTTAGGGACATTTTGTACCGTGCTTTTTTGTTTATTTGGGGGTTTTTGTTCTTTCAATAAGCTTTATTAAGAGTGACACCGAGAGGTAGAGACAGAGAGAGATCTTCCATACTGGTGTTCTCTCCCCACATGGCCACAATGGCCAGGGCTGGGCCAGGCTGAAGCCAGGAGCCAGGAGCTCTGTCTGGCTCTCCCGCGTGGGTGAGGGGCCTTCCTCCGCTTTCCCAGGCGCGTTAGCAGGGAGCACGATGGGTGCTCTGCTGTGGGGTGCTGGCGTCACAGGCAGCAGCTGCTCAGCCCACTGGGCCACACCCGGCCCCCTGGCTTTGTTTTAACTGCAATGAGGGTGGAAGGAGGTGGTGGCAGGCTGAATGGGTTTGGTTCCATTTGCTAAGAAGGTTTCTAAATGTGTCTGTGAGGGAGGGGCTGGGACTGGGGAGGACCGAGTAGAAGACAGATGGTGCACCTGCAGTCATGGCGATGGACAGCGGGCTGTGGGCGTCCCGCACAATGCATTGTATTCCCAGGGAAGGACGACAGGCGGGAGCTTCTGTCTGCCCCAGCTCTGCCACGGCCAGGTTTTCAGCACTGCCCTCACCACGCCGACTTGCCCTGCCCACGCGAGCTTGCTGGGGACACGGTCCGGTCCAAGCCGGTCCAGCACCTGTGAATCTAATTTTGCCCTAAGTCCCATTTTGTTGGGCCATTTCCTCCCCCAGCGATGGTGGCGCAGCCGGCAGAGCAGAGCTGCGCGGAGAGTGTGCGGCCGTTCCTGGCGTCCATCCTGGAGGAGCTCCTGGGGCCGGTGAGCTCAGGATTCGGGGCCGTGCGCTCGCTCTTCGAAGAGGAAGTGGATGCGCTCGGCCGGAGCTTTCAGAATACCAAAGACGGTGACCAGCTGAAGGAGGTAGGGCGCCACGGGCGGCGTGTGAGGCACAGTGACAGAGAGAGAGAGGGAGAGACCTTCCATCCACTGGTTCACTCCCCAGTGTCCACAACGGCGAGGGCTGGGCCAGGCTGAAGCCAGGAGCCTGGGACTCCACTGGGGGTCTCACGCGTGGGTGCAGAGGCCCAGGCACTGGGGCTGTCATCCAGTGCTCTCCCAGGCACATCAGCAGGAAGCTGGGTTGGAAGCGGAGCAGCTGGGACTGGAACCAGTGCTCTGGCATGGGGTGCCAGCCTCGCAGGTGGCCCAGGTCAGTTTGTTCTTAAAAACAGACTCATGAGCTACAGCATTGTTTCTCCAAGTGTGGTCCCTGGAGCCGCAAAGTCACCATCGCCTGCTGTTCCAATGCCAATGCTGCGGCCCAAGGTGGATCAGCTGAGCCGGGGTCTCAGGAGTCTATTTTACTGAGGCCTCTGGGGTGTGGCACAGCCTCCAGGTTCAAAGTCACCGGCACAGATGTGACCTGGCCGCGAGCTCTACACGAGGGGTCACGGCAAGCATCCCCTGTGCAAGTAGATGGGGCTGGCACCTCGGTCCTTTTCCTCCCCCGCTCCTCCTTTATTTATTTATTTATTTGAAAGAGTTCCAGAGAGGTGGGGCAGAGAGAGAGAGAGAGAGAGAGAGAGAGAGAGAGAGAGAAGTCTTCCATCCCCTGGTTCACTCCCCAGATGGCCACAGCAGCCAGTGCTGGGCCAGGCTGAAGCCAGGAGCCAGGAGCTTCTTCCAGGTGTCCCACGTGGGTGCAGGGGTCCACGCCCTTGGGCCGTCTTCCAGTGCTTTCCCCGGCCATTAGCAGGGAGCTGAGTGGGAAGTGGAGGGTCCCGGCTGCTGATGTGGGAACGGGCGCTGTCCCTGCGTCTGACGCTGCTCGGTGTTTCCCGTGGCCATGGCAGCACCTAGACGGCCTGCTGCGCCTGCCGCTGGACGCCGTGAAGATGGAGGCCTGCTACCGCGAAGCCGCCCCGCTGCAGGAGCAGCTGCAGGACCTCAACAGCCGCTTCCGCTTCCCGCACGTGGACCTCGTGGTGCAGAGGGCCCAGAACTACATGCAGGAGGTGGGCGCCGTGGGTCGCGGTCGGGGAGGGGCTGGGAGCCAGGGAGCACCCGCCGGCCTGCGGGAAGGGCCGTGGACCTGGGACGCGCTCTGTCCTCCCCGCTGGTCCTCCTCTCCTTCATTGCTGGACATCAGAGAGGAGAATGATCCGACACGGGTAGGATGCTACCCATGTTACAGGTGTCACGGGGCACTTACTCTGGGACGTCAGGTCCCACTTCCGGCAGCTGTGGCGGGACACGCTCCTAGAAGGATCCGTGGCTGTGCTGGCAGTGCTGGGATAGAGCCTGTGCCGGCGCTAGGAGCAGATCTCAGGCCCAGGGGGAACGGAGCCTTGCAGAGCTGGGCAATGCCGTGTGTGAGAAACCTCTGACGAGCTCAGAGGGTCAGCGATGGGCGGGAACCACGCTGGGAGGCCGCGTGGCAGAAGCCCCGTGGTGACGCTGGGCCCTCAGTGGTCAGCCCCAGGCCCCAGGCAGAGCCGGGTGAGGAGCCGGGGCTGGGGAAGTGCTAAGAGCCGGGCTACGGGCAGTGCCTATGCACCTGCAGAGTGGCTTCCACACGGTCAGTGTGTGGCTGCAGGTGCCAGGGAACAGAGGAAGGGGATGACCCAGAGGGCAGCGCCAGGCTGGGCCCCATGGTCCTGGGTGTTCCAGCTCAGGGGTGACAGAGAGCATGTCTGGGTGTCAGACATCCATGGGCACATACCTGCCTGTGTGTGCATGCAAGCATGCATACATGTACGAGTTAGCATGCATGCATGTGAATGTGTGCACGTGTGTGTGCATTTGTGTGTGCGTGTGGGTTGTGTGGGCCCACGTGTGTGTAAGCATGTATGAGTATGTGAGTAAACATGTGTGTATGCATGCGACTGTGTACACTCAAGCATGTGTTCCTGTGTGTGCATACATGTGTTAGTATGTGAGTGAACACACGTGTGAGTATGTGCACATATTCAAGCATTGTGCACACGCCCGTGTCAGCATGTGTGTGCATGTGTATGCATGTGTGTGTGCCTGTATGCATGTTCAAGCATGTATGAGTGTGCATGTAAGTATGTGTGTATATTCAAGCATTGTGTATATGCATGTGTCAGTGAGCATGTGTGTGTATATGTTTGTGGGTTAGCATGTGTGTACATGCCAGCATGTGTGTGTGCACGTGTGTGTGTACATGCAAGCATGTGTGAGTGCCCGTGTCCCCATCGCCTCCCATCCCACTGTGGGCCTGTGGCCGTGAGCGTCTGATTCAGAGCCCCGGCGGCTGGGTGGGGACCTGCTGCCCGGGTGCCGCCGCCGAGCGCGGTGCCGGCTGGTCCTCCCTGACGCGCCCGTCTGCCTGCTCCGCTTCCAGCTGATGGGGAACGCCGCGTTCACCTTCACACAGCTGCTCGCCCCGCACCTGCAGGGAGAGCCCGCCCGAGCCGCCGCCGCCATCGAGAAGGTGAAGCTCCGAGTGCTGAAGGTGGGTACCCGGCCTGACCCCGTGCCTGCTGCTGGGGGCAGGCTCCCTCCTCGCTGGGCCCGCACCTGCGGCTCCCCGGCTCCATGTCCGCGCGTCTTCTGCCACCCAGTGGCCACGTCGGGGAGCACAGGCGCTCAGGTCTCCACGCCTTGGTTAGGTGAGGCCGCCCAGCGGCGTGGCGTGGCCACCCTTGTCGGCTGCGCGCTCTGACACTGCACACGCATAGTATGTCCTTAGGCTTTTTTCCTTTCCTGCCCTGTTTCCTGCGATTCTCACGGGAACTTGCAAGGCGTTAGAATTCGTCAACACTGTATGGACCAGGACACTGGCTCTCCGTGAACGGGACAGCCAGCAGCATGCTCAGTGCCAGGCTGAGGGCACAACGGTGCTTCCACCTCGTCCACTAGTGTGCACCCCTCCTGCCGCTCTGCACAGCGCTGGGGCGGGCCCTGGACCTCAGTCCGCCTTTGTGCCTCACAGGCCGGAGGAAACAGGCAGCCAGATCGCTGAGAGGGGTCCGAGGGAGTCCCAGTGGTCACGATGGGGCAGGTGGTGACCAGCATGCCACTGAGTGGAAAGACAGCCAGTGCAAGCAGAGAGAGGTGCCCGGATGCCGGCAGCTCGGGTCTGGGGGGGACGTGGAATGCCTGTCAGCCCAGTTCACAGCCCAGGTGCAGGACCCTGCCGCCTGTCTCTGGTGCTGCCCCCACCCTGGCCCCGTGTGTGCCAGGCCACTCCCACCCTTCACGACGGCCGGTGTCCTCTCTGGACGCTGGGCTGGGAGTCTGTGCTCCTCTCGGACACCCAAGCCCTCCTGGTGCCGCTCCTCACTCACACTCTTCCTCCACTGGGCAGCCTTGGCTCGCTCCATAGAGCTATAGGTTTTTTTTTTTTAAGCTTTATTCATTTATTTGAAAGTCAGAGTTACACAGAGAGAGGAGAGGCAGAGGGAGAGAGGTCTTCCATCTGCTGGTTCACTCCCCAATTGACCACAATGGCCGGAGCTGTGCCGATCCGAAGCCGAGAGCCAGGAGCTTCCTCTGGGTCTCCCATGTGGGTGCAGGGGCACAAGGACTTGGGCCACCCTCTACTGCTTTCCCAGGCCATAGCAGAGAGCTGGATCGGAAGTGGAATAGCTGGGATTCGAACTGGCACCTGTATGGGATGCCAGCACTGCAGGCCAGGGTGTTAACCCACACTGCGCCATAGCGCCGGCCCCAGAGCTCTAGTTTTGTCCCAGTCACTTCCAGGGGCCACACCTGCTACACGGGCATCCCATGTGGGTGCTGGTTCATGTCCCCGCTGCTCTACTTCCTATCCAGCTCCCTGCTGTGGCCTGGGAAGGCAGTGGAAGATGACCCACATGCTTGGGCCCCTCACCCACGTGGGAGACCCGGATGGAGCTCCAGGCTCCTGGCGTCAGCCTGGCTCAGCCCTGGCCATCATGGCTATCTGGGGAGTGAACCAGTGGATGGAAGATCTTTCTCTCTTTTCCACCCTTGGCTCCTTCTCCTTCTCCTCTCTCTGTAATTCTGACTTTCAAACAAAATAAATACACATTTAAAAAAAGAAAAGTCATTGCCTCCAGTAGAGCTGTCCTCGCCCCTTTAGCCACTCTTCGTTTGGCTGTTGCGCTCCTGCACCTGTGGCTGGACACCCGCGTCTGCAGTGCCCTGGAAGGGACCCCAGACTGGAAGCCTGGCTCCTGGGTCTGGAAGCTCAGTGCAGGACAGAAGGGGTCAGCATCGTCCCTGTCCCCGACACTGAACTTGTCTGGGGAACGAGCCACAGGGTCAGTGGACCGCTTCCTCTCTTCTCTGCAGAAGGCATCCACTGACCTGCTGGCCAGACACGGAGCTGACCGAGCCGGCCGTGGCTCCCATGCCCCCCGCCGCGCACGGGGGCGGTGACCTACAAGCTCACCCCTGGTTCCAGCCCCGATTTCTTTATGTCCCAGAAGTCGCCGCGCTGTGTTGCTGCTGTCTCGGTTTCCGTGTCTGTGAGGGGGAGACAGACGGGTCCATCAGAACCCGAGCCTGGAGTGGAGAGACCTCTGGGACCCTGGCGTTGAGGGGGGGGGAGCTGAGCGGGCGGCGGAGGTTTGTGCACGTCGGTGAGCGGCTCCTGCGCGGCTGCTCACGCGTGCCTCTCTTGGCAGCAATACGACCATGACAGCAGCACCGTCCGCAGGAAGATCTTCCAGGAGGCCCTGGTGCAGATCACGCTCCCCACCGTGCAGAAGGCTCTGGCGCCCACGTGCAAACCGGTAAGGGCTCGGCTCCTGCAGGCACGCGCCTGCCCGTGTGCCTCGGTGTGCACGCTTTCCCACGCGTGGCCATGCGGTTTCAGCTCCGTGGGCCCCACAGCTTCTGTGTAACCAGAGGCGATGCGTGAACACACGGTGCCCTTTAAACTGGATTTAGAAGACCAGAAGCTGGCAGGGCGGCCGACCCCTGGCCCAGGCAAATCTTGATGTCAGGCCGAGCTCAGGGCTGACAGAGACACCTCAGGGTAGCAGGTGTGCCCCACTGCCGTGTGACTCACAGGTACACTGTGTCCTGGGAAACCTGACCGTGTCCAGGAAAAGATGGTAAGTAACGCGATTACAGAGGCTGTTTGTTCTGGACCCAGTGACATTTGTTTAAGAAGATCAACAAACCACTCAAGGCTGCTTCGAATAGCAGGCTGCCTGTGACAGCCGTGGTTGCGAAGGTGGGACTCGGCCTGCGGGCTCGAGTGACGGGCGAGCAGCGTCCAGGGGCTGGCCCGAGTCCTTGCCCCCGACTCGCCAGCCCTGGGGCCCCGAGCAAGTCCCTTTCCCTCTGGGCTTGGATATCCAGTGGACGCCGTGGTAACCGTGTGCAGGCTGACCTCAGTCATTCTCGCAAGGGCCCGAGTAGCAGGTGGGAAGGACCTGGGTGATGCAGAGGGTGAGTGCCCAGGTGCGGGCCCGTGCACTCTCTGCCCCGAGCGGGAGGCCCCCGCCACCACGGGGGCCATCACGAGCCAGACGCGGGCCAGGCCTGCCCCTGCTGGAGCACAGGACGGGAGCTTGGGGGAACCTGCCAAGGCCCTTTCGGCAGCTTGGAGCGGCTGTCAGCGCTGGCCGTGCCCTGCTCCGCGTGGGTCACCCGCCGTGGGAATGCCGGCTCGTGTTTATACTCTGCGCGCTCCGGTTTGCCTCGGCAGACCCGGCGCTGGCCGTTTGTTTCTGGGGTGTTTTCTAGAGCACAGGGGGATTTGGGCGAGGCCAGGGGAGGAGACTCGGTCTCCAAGACTGCCCCCCTGTGTGCCGGCCAAGGCCAGCAGCAGCGTGATGCCGGGGCCACCGCACACCCCGGGAGTGACACACATTCTGCTGGGGCCTCCCGAGCCACCAGGTCCCAGGCAAGGCACACGGAGAGGCTCCCCCAGCCAAGCCGCTGCAGAGCCTGGCGCGCCCCCTAGAGGCTGCCTTCCAAACAGTCCCTGGCCCAGGGCTGTCTGTCCTTAAGGCTACCGTATCCGAGTCCAGAACTTTAAAATCCTGCATTCGGGTAGTAGATGAGCGAGGGATTAACTGCTTCCCAGGAGTCTTTGCTACTTTACCAAAGACTTTTCCCCCCGAGGCTTTAAGTAGCAACTTCCGTGACCTGCTAGCCACACCGTAAAATTCCCAGCCCACTTTAGAAAAGGATTCTAGGGGTGGAGGTTTGGCCTAGCTGTTAAGGTACCGCCTGGGGAGCCTGCATCCCACCTCAGAGTGCCTGGGCTCCAGTCCTGCCTGTGCTCCCTGCCCCTGCATGGGAGACCCGATGCAGGCCCCAGCTCCTGGGTGCAGCCTGGGAGACCCAGATGCAGGCCCTGGCCCTGGGTGCACCCTGGGAGACCCAGATGCAGGCCCTGGCCCTGGGTGCAGCCTGGGAGACCCGATGAAGGTCCCAGACCTGGGTGCAGCCTGGCCCAGCTCCTGGGTGCACCCTGGGAGACCCGATGCAGGCCCCAGCTCCTGGGTGCAGCCTGGGAGACCCGATGCAGACCCCAGCTCCTGGGTGCAGCCTGGGAGACCCAGATGCAGGCCCTGGCCCTGGGTGCAGCCTGGGAGACCCAATGAAGGTCCCAGCCCTCGGGTGCAGCCTGGCCCAGCCCTGGGTACACCCTGGGAGACTCAGATGCAGGCCCTAGCCCTCGGGTGCAGCCTGGCCCAGCCCTGTGTGCAGCCTGGGAGACTCAGATGCAGGCCCCAGCCCTGGGTGCAGCCTGGGAGACCCAGATGCAGGCCCCAGCCCTGGGTGCAGCCTGGGAGACCCAGATGCAGGCCCCAGCCCTGGGTGCAGCCTGGCCCAGCCCTGACTGTTGCGAGTGACACAGCAGGTGAGATTCATTCTCTAGCAGATTCTGCACCCCCACCCCACCCTGGGAATTCTACACGAATTGGCCCAGGGAGGCCCCGGCAGCTGGACACAGAGCATCGTCCCAGGACGCGCTCCCCAGGAATCAGCCCATTCGGCAGAATGAGTCAGCACTGACATTTTAAAGGCTGCTGATTATTCAGCAAATGGGCACGAGGAAATGCATGACCCAGGCATGGGGCCAGGCCAGCTGTCCCTGCGGTCATGGGGTCCACAGTGTGTGTGTGTGGCGGGGTGGACAGGTGAACAGGAGCCGATGAGGACGCAGCGGGGGTCCGGGGAGGACTTGCAGAGGCTCCCGCCTGCTCCCGAGGCATGGGTGGCAGTCGGGGGTTAAGGGGTGGGAGACACGCAGGGACAAGGGGAGGGTGCGGGGGGCACGAGCCTGTGCCGCTCCTTGGGCAGAGGAAGAGACAGAGCGGCCGTGTGGCTTGCCCAGGGTCCCACCCGGTCCAGGGCCGCACCCCGTCTGCAGGCAGCGCCCCTTCCGTACCTGTGGCCCTGGTCCCTTCTCTAGGGACGGCGTCACTGAAGCCCATGGTGCTCCTCTCGTGGGGATAAAGGGACACCACCACGTGATGGTCCTGGGCAGTGGCGTCCCCACACCTGAGCACTGAGGTGTCTGTGTGGTCCCTGGGACCCCCTGCTCCACAGCCATCACCCCCGGCCAAGGTGCTCAGCCCCTGGTTCTCCAAGAGCCCTGTGTGGTCAGGGGTCACAGAGAACCCCCGGGATGCAGCCAGGTGGCAGGTACAGTTCCACCCCCGCCCTGCTCACAGGCCAGCCACGGGGACACCCACTGGAAGGCAGGAGGGGAAGGGGTTGCCCATCATGCCTGGGCTGTGTCAGAGGACTCCCGGGGTCAGGGCCACGTGGAGGGACAGAGGACAATGCTGAGGCCGTGGCTAGACTCCAACAGAGCTCAACACACATCCACCAATGGCCCGGCCGTCTCGTGTCTTGGTGTGGCCCCAAGATAAACAAGTCCTTAAATCCACAAAGACACGTAGAAGACTGTTCGTGGCGGTTACATCCGCAATGATCAAGGAAACAGCTCCATGGCCGTCAGCGAGGTTGAGACGCACGTTTCAGATCTTCGGGCAAATGATCCTCTTATCTCTAGAAAGGAACAGGCCACCCATACACAGGATGAATCTCAAAAATAAGCACAAAAGTCTACATTGTTTCAAGTTCAAGAACAAGCTAGGAGGGATCTCCCGGGATGGTGATGGAGCCTCAGATCCCGGCTTCTCTCTGGCAGGGTGGTGGGCTGGAAGAGGGCTGGGGGAGTGTGGGTGGGCGTGCCAGTGCCTGCTGTGTGGACGGAGCATGGCTGCACCTATGTTGTCACATGTTTGAGCATGTGCACCTTAGTCACACACACACACCCCTGTAAAGCACTGCTGTGGTTTTTGTAAAAGGAATAAGGGAGCAGTTGGGTTATGATGGAAGCACAGGGGGCCCGAGACCCCCTGGCCTTGAGGTGTGAAAGTTCTGTGCGTCTTCCCCCAAAAAACACCCAGACTGCGAGCCCCGTGCAGGAAGGGGCACGGCAGCACCGACGGGAGGAGAGAAGTGTTGTGGTCACACATGTGCTTGACGGGGGCTGAGGGAACCCCGGGGGAAGATTGCCGGGTCATCTCAGAAGTGCCTGTGGCCTGGGGGCCACTCTGGCCCTGCCCCGCCCCAGGAGGGCTCCTCTCCCTCACGCCCCTGCGCTGTCTCCTGCCCCCCCCCCCCCCCAGGAGCTGCAGAAGTTCGAGCAGCTCATCTTCGCAGACCACGCCCACATGATCCATGTGGAGAACGTCTACGAGGACATCTTGCATCAGCTGGTCCTGCGGGAAGCGCTGAAAGGTAAGGAAGCTTTGCCCGGGGCCCAGTGGGGCTGGCAGGTGGGAAGGGGGTGCCGGGGAGGCGGGAGCAGGGGAGAGAGAAGTAGGCAGGACCTGGCCCCGGCCGAGGCTGGTCCCTTGGCCATCACTCTCGGATCTTGGTGAGATGGGCGTTTCCAGCTTCATTGCCCAGGTGGGAAAACACAGGCTTAGAGCTGTGTTCCTGGCGCTGTTCCAGGCAGAGTAAAGGGACAGGGTCCCCATGGGCACACGCACGACCCCTCCCAGAGCTGGGCTGTCCACTTTCCTCACCTCCACTCAGCCAGACAGACGCAGCGCTGACACTGCACCTGCCATCCGGGCCGGGACTGGGGCGCCCAGGGGTCAGAGTGCGGGAGGACACGTGGACGGATGTGTGCTGGGAGGCCACCTTCACACCGGGGGCCTGGCACGGGGCGGGTCTCAGAAAGCCCTCCCCAGCGGAAACTGGCCAAGCCCAGGCCTCAGGTTGCAGGAGCTAATCCCAGGGGATCCAGTGAGGCCAGCCCCTCGCCGGCACCGGGGGCCGAGTCAGGAAGGAGAACCACAGAGCAGCCAGCATCCACGGATGCTGCAGGGGCAGCTGAGTCCACAAATCCAGGCTCCGGGAGCTGACCGACAGCCCCTGGGATGCCAGGTGTCAGCCTCTCTCCGCCTCTGGGGCAGAGCTGAATGTGCCCACAAAAGCACTTCAAAAGTCCATGGAAAACAGAACTCAAAGATACGTTTCTTTAGTGCAAAAAAAAAATTGAAATCTGTGCATAGTTTTATGACACTCATTTTCCACCAAATTTCTGAAAACCGCTTGTCCGCCTGGATCTCAAATTTCTTCTGTACCAAAATAAGCGTTTTCCGTTCCCGGCGTTTCTGTGGGCTTTCTGGAGTGCTTCCCAGGCACGTCCTGGGCAGGGGTGCGGCCGAGGGCTCTGGGAGCTAACGTCGCCCTTCGCGTCTGTGTCTCTCTCAGTGATCCAGGAAGCCGCCATGCAGAAGAAGCACAATCTGTTTGATGACAGCGTGGCCTTGCCCAGCGAGAGCGTGTCCAGCTTGACGGATCTGAAAACCCCCACTGGCTCCAAGCCAGCCAGCCCTGCCCGGCGGGCATCGGCCGCATCGCCGGGAGCCCTCGGGAGCGAGGGCTCCGGCACAAGTGGGCAGGCCGAGGGACAGGTGCAGCCCGGCAGGAATGGGCAGGGGGCTCCCGTGGGCCCTGACCACGACGCTGTGGCTCCTGTGGAGGGCGCGGCAGAGCTGGGGACCGCGGGGCACCCCGGAGACCCCGAGCCCGCCTCTGGCTCCCTGCGGGAGCTCAGGGAGCTGCTGGCCGAGTCCGCCCCCGTGGTCTACCAAGACACGGAAGGGGAGGCCCCTGGCGCCCCAGAAAATGAAGAGGAAGAGGAGGAAAACGCCCCGGGGTGCACAGTGCACAGCGAGGCCACAGCCCCCGACGTGGACCAGGGTGCACACAGCGAGGCCGGCGGCGTGGAGGTGCCCGCAGCCTGTGGTGCTGACCCTCAGCCAGGCCCAGAAGGGCCCGCTCAGGACCCCTCTGAGAAAGATCTCCAGGCCAGGGCCTCCGCCCAGGACGCCCAGGAGGGAGGAGAGGCCGCGGGCGCGGGGCCGAGCGAGGACTGGCTCCCGATGGAGAGCCAGGGCGCCCAGGCCGCGGGGAGTGTGGGCGCAGAGGAGGCCCAAGTCCCAGGCGCTCACACGGCCCAGTGGGAGGTGGAGGCAGCCCCCGACCCTGATGGCACGGAGACAGGCGGTGGTCAGGGGACCCCCCCGGAGCAGCCCTCAGAGTGAGGGGCAGCCCTGCCGGGGGCAGCCCCGCCCAGGGCCCCCCATGGGTGTGGGTGCTCCGAGTGGTCAGCCAAATGTGAGGCATTTCCTTAATTTGAGTCACAAAACTGAAGGGGCGGGACCTGCGCTGCTGCCCCCACCCCGGGACAGTTGCTGGGCGTTTTAGCCAGGGTGAGCGGGGGCCGCTTCCAGCCCACTCTGCGCAAGGCTGGGAGGCAGCCCCTGGTGCACTTTATGCTTCTGAACCTCTGGAAGGGTGCGAAAGCCCGCTGGAGCCCGCTCTGCCGCCTCCCCATCGCCCAGGACTCAGCGGGTGCCCACGGTCAGGCGCAGGGAGGCGCCTGCAGCCCTGGCGGGCATCCGGGTGCCGGGGCTGTGGGACGGTCCTGCTGCGACTTCCCCTGACGACTTCTTGCTGATTATCTTGCTGGTTCCTCCCAGTGGGAACTCAGAACCCTTCCCTGGCGTGTGCAGGTGGACCACCCTCCAGGTTAGCCAGAGACCACAAGGAGCTCAAAGCTCACAGGTGGACAGCGACCGCGTGCCATGCCCGGTGCAAGGCACAGCAAGGAAAAACAGAGGAGGCGCTACGGTCTGTAAGTTTCAACGCCCGGGCGAGGCCGACCTAGAAAACACGACTCCCCCCCCCATCCAAACGTGCATGCTCATCCCACAGGGAACAAAATGCGTAAACAGAGAGATGAGTGAAGACGAAGCAGGTACCGGGCGCCGAGGCCAGAGCCGGGCGGCCATGCTGTGGTTGTTCGGCAGTGTGTGAGTGCCAGGGACGCACTCACAGGGGGTGCCCTGTCGCAGGGCTGGCCTCCGGCCTGCGGTGGACACAGTCGTGTCTCCCAGGGACCATGGCCTCTGGCTTGCCGGAGATGGAAAAGATTGGTCATTGTCTTCCAGAAAATTCCAAATCACTTCCTAAAAACCCCCACCCCAGGCCCTGCTCTCGAAGTTTCTTTCCACAGACGTCAATGTTAGACCCCCAACAGCTTGTTTTCACCGTCGCCATCACCTAAGTTCATATCAGCTCTTTAGAGAATCGACCCAGGAGTTAAAACACCCCTCCCCCGAGAATGGCCCGGACTCTGGGTCACAGGGCAGAGCGGTGACCCGTCAGCCGTCTCGCCCCCCCCCCCCGGAGTTCCGCTCCTCTGTCCACGTCGGCCCCTCCCGCTACCGTCCCGACCCTGCTCTGCCCCCCCCCCCCCGCTCCTGCACATCCTGCCATGTAGTGCGGAGTCCTGCCTTTCCCGGGGGCCACGCTCTCCACGGGGTCAGGCGTCTCTTGTGCTTCCTGCTGGAAACCACAGCCCTCAACAGTGGCCTCCCTGCCGCCTCAAGTCATTCTGAGGCCCCTCGTGTCCAGCACGGGACTGGCCGCGGCGCCAGCCGCTCCGGAGGCGTGGGGACCGGCCTCTCAGTGTGCCAGGGGCCGGGGTTCCGGGTGCAGACTCCTCGGCTGAGCTCTGCCTCGTGGAGTCTCCCCTTCAGTAAAGTCCGAAGTCCAGCGGGAGGTGGCCCGGCGCAGTGCATCCCTCCCGGCCCGAATCTGCAGGCCTTCCTCCCTCTCTGCCCCCTCCCCCCCACATACACACCAAAGCTGAGCTCTGACAGCCCTGGGAGAGGCTGCGGTTCCCGGCGCTGCGCACCTGAGCCCAGCACCCGGCTTTGTCCACCCAGGAAGCCAGAGGGACCAAGTGGCAGGACCAGCCTGGAGCAGACGGGATTCTTCCCTACAAGGAGTTCAGTGCGTCCCTCGGCGGAGCAGGCGTGGTTGTGCACTCGCAGGGGCTCAGGGAGGCGGCACGCACGTGAAGTGGCTAGTGTGCGGGCTACCGTCTGGGTGGGATTCTCCCAGGTGCCCCGAGTCCACCCGGCCTTTCCCACACGCGTGTCTGGTCTCCTCCACGGTTTCCAGGCAGGAGCGGAGCTGCTGTGACCCATGCGAGCGGAAGCGGAGACCTCTGCTCCCAGCACAGCCGCCGGAAATGCGCAAACCATGGACCCTGGCAGAGCCCCGTGGTATAAGCCGGGCAGGTTTCTGTCGACCTTCCACAAAGGAGACAGCCAGCGCATCTCTGCCTGCTCCGTGGCTTGGACCCAGAACCCGCAGACGCAGCTCTGCTGCGAGAAAGGGTGTGTTGAAGACGACAGGGACACGCTGCCCCTGTTTGTCCGAAAGCCCCGCTGAGAGGCTGGGAGGGGAGAGCTTCGGGTCTGGCCTGCCTGGGTTTGTCCTGAAGGGGCTCAGAGCTGGCTCTGTCAGTCTCCAGATCAGAGCCAGTGGTCTCAAAGGTTTCTCAGGCCCAGCAGAAGTGATTTTAGTGCGCGGTAACAGGTGCCAGGTGCCACGTAGCACTCAGGATAGGGAGGAGGCGGAGCGCCGCCCAGCCGCCCTCATGATGTGGCAAAAAGGGGACAGCTGTGTCCTGATGTGTGGGCATGTGTGGGGTCGGCCGCCTGACCTCTGCAGCTTCCTATGTAGAGCAATTAAACGGCGAACACTTTATAGCCATGTATTTACTCTGTCCAGTGCCTATATTCCAATAAAATGTTCACCCTGAAGAGCTGTCCAGATGCTGTTGACTTGCAGTGGCTGGTTTCGGGGCCTAAGCAGATGTCACGCTGGAGCTGGGAGGGCAAGCTGAGTCCCGGGGCCGGTGGTGGAGCTTTTGCTTGGTTGTCGGGAGGAAACCCGGGCCGGCCCCTAACATCGCGGCGTGGCGCTGGTAGTTGTTTCTCTAGGAGTTGGGTGGCATCCATGGCACAGCTGCAAGGCCCCCCACCCCCGGGCACGAGGCCGGCAAAGCCAGCGGCTGTGGTGCCAGCATGGTCTCCCCGAGATGTGGGGACTCCTGTCTGGCTCTAAAACCCACGCTCCGGCTTTTAAAGCTTGCCAGCCTTGCAGGAAGAAAAGCCTGACAGAGTCTGTGCCCTCTGGCTTAGCAACGGAGCCCTCGCCGTTTGTGTACTTCTTGGGTGGGTTAGCACAGGCAGGGTCACGGCTCGTGCTAACCCTGGGTCATGGAGCTCATGTGCCCTGTGACCGCGCAGCGTGTAACTGCAGCCGAGCAGGCACGGAGCCTTCCCACACACGTGCAGTTTTCTGCAGCCAGCAGTTGCCGGGGTGGGGGTGGGGGGATGCTACCACACGCACCTTGCAAAGAAGCGTGAAAACAAGGAAGAATGCGGGCTAGGGTTCCAGTCTCCTGCCGCCAGACAATAGCCTGAGGTAGTTACACGTGTACGCGCTGTGTCAATAGTCCTCACCTCTCTCCTCTCCCTGCGCAAACAGGAGCCCAGGGGATACCCTTATCGCACCTGTGACCTGTGGTTTCCTTTCAGAGTTCTCCTGCGGCCTGAGTCGGAGGCCCTGGTGCCGAGAGCAGTTTTATTCCCCCTTCCTGTCTCCCCACGAGTGCCTCTCCTTCCCGGTTTGCCCAGCACGAAGGACCTTGTGGCACTCACTCTGCGCCCGCTGTGTTCCGCGTCTCCAGAGAGCCCTCTTGGGGCTGGTTCCAGCGTGCTCTAAGACGCTGGGGAGGGGGAGCTTTCTCCGCACGCCTGGACGGGCAGTGTGTCCGCCGGCCCCTGCACTCTGGGGCTTGAAGGTAGCTGAGCAGTCGCACGACCTCCAGACATTCCTGCTAAGGCGGGCGTCCACCGAAGGGGCTTCACCCTCTCTGTCCAGAGCACATTCCACCCCGGGAACTCCAAGAGAGAGCACACAGCGCCCTTGCCCGCCACCAGCCTGCCCCGCACAACGCCATCCCCCAGCTCCAGGCGTCTCCACTGGGGCTGCGCACACGCCCCGAACACTTGTCCGGAGCACTTGTTCTTGTGACAGCCTCCAGAACTCCCCAGGTGACCGCGATCCGGGTAAAGGTCCCCAAGTCCTCAGTGTTGATGTGCTGAGTGCTGTGGGTCCCTGCGTCTTAGTGCAGGCTCCTCCACATGCCGGCTCCCCTCGGCAGCCTCCACCTCCCAGCAGAGCCTTGCTCTTGAGGGTGCGCTGCTCCCAGACGTGGCCCAGAGTCAGGCACCTCCACACCTCCTCCCTTCCCCGGTACCCTCCAGGGAAACCAAAGAGCAATCCTCCCTCCCCCCGGCCCTCTTTCCTCCCCCCCACCTTCCTCTCAAGGGCAAACAGAAACACAGAACGACATTGCACTCTCTGGTTCCCTCCCCAAATGCCCACAGTGGCCAGGCTGGGTCAGGCCAATGCCAGGAGCCTGGAAGTCCCTCTGGGACTCCCATAAGTAGCAGGGACTCAGGTACTCGAGCCGCTGCTGGCTGCCTCCCAGGGCGCGCATTGGCAGGAAGCTGGAGTCAGAAATGGAGAAAAATTTGAAGCCAGGATCCCAGTGGCCAGCAGGTCTTCCAGCTCCTTTCTAAGGCCTTGCTCCCTTTTGGACCTCTGGGGTTGGCCAGATGGGCAACTTAATTCACCGAGCGGCTATTGTCTCCTTCGTTTGTCTTCTCTTCCTGTCTCCAAGTAGATGAGATTTTATTTAAAAAGCTGCGGTGGGCATGGGTGTTGGAGTGCAGCGGGTGAAGCTGCCCTTGGATGGGGTTCCTGACTCCTGCTGTTGGCCTGGCCCAGCCTGGCTGTTGCAGGCATTTGGGGGATGAACCAGCGGATGGAAGTTCTCTCACTGTCACTCTGCCTATCAAATAAATAAACAAACTTTTAAAAAAGGAGCAAGTAGGGGGACAGTGTTGTGGCACAGTTGGTGAAGCCAGTTTGTGTCTCGGCTGCTCCACTTTTGATCCAATTCCCTGCTGATGGCCTGGACGAAGCAGTGTAGGATGGCTCCAGTGTTTGGGCCCCTGCCACTCAGTGGGAGACCTGGATGAAGCTCCTGGCTTCGGCCTGGCCCAGCACTGAGTGTTGTAGCCATCTGTGGAATGAACCAGTGGACGGAAGATCTCAGTATGTGTATGTGTGTGTCTGTCTCTCCCTCTGTAAATCTTACTTTTAAATAAATAAATAATTTTTAAAGATTTATTTTTATTTATTTGAAAGAGTTACAGAGAGAGGTAGAGACAGAGAGAGAGAGGTCTTCCATCCGCTGGTTCACCCCCCAGATGGCTGCAACGGCTGGAGCTGTGCCAATCCGAAGCCAGGAGCCAGGAGCTTCTTCAAGGTCTCCCATGCAGGTGCAGGGGTCCAAGCACTTGGGCCATCTTCCACTGCTTTCCCAGGTCATAGCAAAGAGCTAGATTGGAAGAGGAGCAGCCAGAACTAGAACCAGCGCCCAAATGGGGTGCCGGCGCTTCAGGCCAGGGTTTTAACCTGCTTTGCCACAGTGCTGGCCCCAATAATTTTTTTTTTTTTTTTTTTGAAGAGCAGTTGGGATGAACAGAGAAGGCGTTTCGATGCTGTGGTCCACAGCTGTATTTTCTGTCCTGGAATCTCCTTGATGATTTGTGTGTTATTTGAACACATACTGGCATCGCTATGCAGAAAGCAAAATGGAGTGCAGACACAGCTGGAGGACCCTCCCTCGCGTGTGCGCACACACGCACACGCACTCACAGCTGCTGGTGGGAGTGGGAAGCAGCACAGCTGTTGAGACTACAGCCTGGCAGCTTCTTTCAAAGTTAGACACACCCTTGCCCCGTGACCTGGGATACCACTCGTGGGTGGTGACCGAAAAGAAACGAAAACGTATTCACAGCAGAACCTCTATGGGAATGTCCACAGCTGTGGTCTTCGTAAATGTCAAAAACTGGAGCACAGGTCACCACGTCACACTTGGCTCCTGCAGTGACCGCGGGCCCCGCTGCTGTCCTCAGTTCCGATCTGGACTGACGTCTTCTGTGGCAGACACCTGAGGTGGTGCCCTGCACCTGCCAGGCCGCGTGGCCGGTGCTCGCTCCCCACCGCGGGCCGCTGGCTGTGGCAGGGGTGACAGAGCATCCTGCCGGAACAAGGACGGCCCTGGCCGGGTCTGCCGTTGCGTGCGGCTTCGTCATGACACGCTTGACGACATGACATGACTGTCAGTCCTTTTCATCAAAACACAACCCGACCAGCTGTGGATGCACAGTGCCTGGCTGTCCAGAGTCCGAGAAGCACCCAAACTTTACATTTTTCCTCTGAGTACCTTTTGATGCACAAAGGTGTCCTTTTAGTTTGGTAGGTAAAATAAGAGGTTTCTAGATCAAAACCACAGATCTCTGGAAGATAAAGCCGTGAATAGCCGCGGGAGGGGTGAGATGCAGCACACACACCCCGCACACCCCCCCACCCCCGTTAACCGGGCCACCTCGCCTTTCTCTTTAATGCGTCACAAACCCACAGAACCTGGAGGCACGGCCGCTGTTTAACTGTGGCCCTCGGAGAATCACGCCCAGCTGCTTCGGGAATCCATGTTGAAATGTGAGCTGGGAATCAGAACAGGGACTTGTGCTACATTTAAGTTACATGTTATCTATGGCAGCTAAGCCGGAGGGGAGGGAGGCCGGGGGCGAGGCCAGTGGCGAAGTCTGGCGGGGGGGGGGTCTCTTTCCTCCTGTTTTTCCCGCCCCGCCCTCTCACCCCCAGACTCGAGGCTGTGGCTCCCAGGACGCCTCCCTCAGGTGTGCACCAGAAGCACCTGCAGGACGCACCTCCCACGGCTGGCCTGCCTGTCTCAGTCAATGCAGTTTGGAATGCAAGTAACAAAACCCTGCTCAAGCTGACTTAGCTTAGGGTTGCAGGAGCACCTGGGAAACAAACTTCGAAGCCAGGAAGACGTCTCTGCTCCTTTCTCTGAGCCCTGCCTGCTTTTCTCTGCGGCTCTGCTCCCTTTCCAGCTGTTTTCACAGCAGCTGCCTCGATTTGTCTGTACACAGCAAGACGGCCGGCGCCGCAGCACTGAGTTTGTTTATCCTCAGTTCTTGAAACCAGCACAGAATAAATGTAATCTCCAAATCCCAGTTCAAAACTCCTGGGAGAGGAGGTCTGTGAGATCTGGGGTGGGTCAGGTGACTGCTCCTCATCCAGCTGGCGACAGGGGGTGACGTGACAGAGGCACCGGGTCCAACATGTCCCAGATGCTTTGAACAGAGAACGGGGTCCTCTCCCACCCGTCCCCGGCTCGGGTGGGAGGAGCTACTGGGCACACGTACTCTAGATTCTTTGAAGCTGCTCCTCTGGGTATTCTTTGGGAGGTTCTGGTTAATTCATGACTTTCATTTTAGGGGGCCAGACACGCACCAGAGGCAAGATAAGTTGCTCAAACTACGCAGATAGTGGCAGTGCAGGGACGGTGATTTGATGGCGCATACCTTCACTCCAGCCTGCATGAGGAAAGGTGAGACGGCCGCCTGGTCCAAAGCAGAGCCCCATGGAGTAGCAAGTCCTTCCTCGCCCCTTCCGGCTCTGAGGGACCCACGCTTTCCCGGCTTGTGCTGCACGCTCCAGTCCCCACGCTAGTCTCCACGCGCGCTCCTCTGTCTACTCCTCTTCTGTTCCCTGTGAGAACCCTTGTGGTTGGCTCTGAGGGCCCCGAGATAGCCCAGGAAGAGCTCACCTGGAGCTCGTCACACATCACCTCTGCAAGGATCCTGCGTCCAAA